AGGCCCCCACCTGTCTATTGTCTGTGTCCGTGGGCTGTTCATATATGCTTATAAGTTCTTTGGTTAATCTCTTCTCACCCTCCTTCCACCTTCCCTCTTAGATCTGTCAGTCTGTTCCATGCTTCTATGTCTGTGGTCCTATCTTGTTTGTCAATCTGTTCTGTTGCTTAGATTCCACATATGAGTGAGATCATGTGGTACTTGTCTTTCTCTGATTTGGTAGCCTCTAAAAATTTGGGACACATAGGTGCATCATAACTGCACAAGAGTCTGTTATGATGGGCTCTGAGACTTTCTGTGCAGTGGACCCCAGAATGAATTTCTTCCCCCAAACCAAAATTAAGCATTCTTTTTAAAATTAGGTTGTTGCCTAGTCTTGTACTGCAACAGTGAATCTAAGTATTTGCTTCCTTTTACTATGCACAATTCTACACTGGGAAATGCCCATTTTATTGACAATGGCTGATTGTATTGTGTTGCACTGCCAGTATTTACATGCTTCCTGTTTTAAATAAGATAGTTATCTCTTGTCCAAATCTAGAGTTTAAGTCAGAAGCATTGTATTATATTTGCTAATTTTCTTTTATGTTTTTCTTGCAGGTTTCTGGGAAGTGTCTTTTCTGAAAACTCTGCTGCTTTGATTCCACTCTAGAGTTGTCTCTTTATAAACTTCTCTCCTTACCACCCCTACCTCCACCCCAAACCTGGTGTAGTTCATCTACAGCAATTTGTTCATTCTTTTGATTTCTTTGATTCTCAGTTTTTCATAGTCAATTTCCCTCATCTTGATTTTGAAGCAAAAATATTTTTTCCAGTTGTAACATCCTTACCAATCTTAATCTTTAAAGCCAAGAAATAGGGATAAAAACTTTTCTCCCCCTGAACTGAGACCATTCCACAAATTGAAGGGCAGCCAACAGCATATGTTTTTTGCCAGAATAATTGAAAACATCAACTGGAGAGCACATAATTTTTTTGAAAGTCCACCAGTTATTTGAAGTAACTTTGGCAGAAGAACAAAATAAAACACTCAATATTTTCACCTTTATGGTTGCCTCAATATTTTAACCTTTATGGTTGCCTTCTTAGGAGTTGGTCTGTAATTTGTTTTTTAGTTATTCTGATACAATTTTTATTGTATGATTGGCTTTTTGTTTGACTAGACCTAATTCAACTTAAGTGAAAACCTAAGTGCTAACAAAGAAACATTTCACCAAAACAACCTGTTATCTCTTTACATATAGCTTGAATTCATTTTTGATCTTTTAACAACAGCATTAATACTGTTCTAGAGAGGGTGTTCTTGATTGTAATTTTGTTTCAATATGACTGCTGTCAATGTTGCCCTGGTTCGTGATACCAATTGGCTGACTCTAGAAGTCTGTAGAGAATTTCTGAGAGGAACCTGTTCGCGAGCTGATGCAGACTGCAAGTTTGCCCATCCGCCAAGAGATTGCCATGTGGAAAATGGTCGTGTGGTGGCTTGTTTTGATTCTTTAAAGGTGAGTCTCATCTAAATGTGCATAATGTTTAAATTAAATGTGTTGATTTCTAGTTTTTGAAATATGGTGTACTTTGATACTGGTAAAGTTAATAATAGCATGAAAGCAGTTAAGTTTTTGTTTGTTTGTATTTTAAGACAGGATGTAGACTTTGTGTTTGTACAACTACGCCAGACTAAAGTTCACCCCATCAAAGTCACTGATCAAGAGAGATAGACCTAAAGAAAAAAAAAATCAAGAATTTTTGAAGGAATGAGAAATTTCAGCTTTACAATACTTCTTTGTATGTGATTTAGGTTTTGGATACAGTGATCATAATCCTCATATAACCTAGAGAAGTCCTTTACTGAATTATGTTATCAAAATACACTTGTCAGGGAACAGTCAGCTTTCAGAGAATAAAGTCAGATCCAGAGAGTATAAGATGAAAATCTCACTACCCAGAAAGAAAATGATGGCATTTTGAAGTTTCTTAGTCAAATTATATTTTGAATGTTTAACTGAAACATATTACTATAAAACTAGGTTCACCCATTTTTTTCTTCCTGAACTGCTTTTTGACCAATTTCAGATTTGTCAGTACATTTTATAAGGAAAGTCCTATCACCAAGGTCAACAAACCCAAATAATATGTACTAGAGAATAAACAAAATATGAAAATAAATGAGATATTATGTAGAATAGAACATATATGATTGTAGAACAAGAAAATGCACTGATTTTCATATTTTACCCATAGTTATCCTTAAATTAAGGATAAATATGTATAAATTAAAGCATAGAAGTAAAAAAGCAATAGATTCCTGGTTTAATTAATAAGAAGAGATTTGCTAGGATGCATTAAAGTTTTCCCCCCAAAATATGTTAGAATGAAGTAAATTTAAGAACTTTCCAATTTCTTGATATTATTTTATACTCATCATGCCCAATTTTACCTCATTGACATTTTTATTTATGCATTGGCTAATAGAGATGTATTCCTTCATGTGGTCTTTTCTTCAGAAAACATTTATCAAGTGATATACTACTTAAGTAGTTACTTATACTTATTTTGTAGTTACTAGTTTTTGTTACAAACCATTCCAGTTTAGTAATGGAAACTTGTTACCATAAATATAATGGTAATTCCTACCATTTAAAATGTCTGGATTGCTCTTATTTGCAATAAATATTATGACTAAAGGGCTTATTCTGTTCTTTATTTCAGAATCATTCAAGTTTCACCTACAATTATTTTGTGTATTATTTAAATCTACAGCTGCAGAACTGGGCAGTGCCATGAAGGGGAAAGAGCACTGGTTTAGTTGTGGGGGGAGGGAAGGAGAATATGTCTTTCATCCAGTCCATAAAAAGGATCTGGCACTGCACTAGGCACTTTACATATTTACTTTCAGGAGATCTGGTATACAATCCCAGACCCACTACTGACCTTAGCTATTTAACCTGACACAACTTAAGTTCTTTCATCTCTAACAGATGGGCATTCTTCTCTACTTATCCTCCATGATTATTGTGGAGATTCTATTAAGAAAAATGAAAAACCATCTATCACTATAAAAGTGAATTAAATGAAAGGTTTTCTTACTATTAGCTAACATTTTTTAGGAGCCTTCAAAAGAGCTCTGTTAAGTTAGTGTTTATTTAAAACTACATACTCATGTTTCAAATGTATATGCCCAAATCTAGTTGCCTGAGTGTTATGTTAGTTCTTCAAGCTAAGTATCACTGTTTTTATGGTTTACTCTTTGATATAGAGTTCCTTCCAGGTTTTGTAATGTCTGTATTCCCAGGCATGTAGTGGAAGGAGACCTGTGATGTTCCTAATCATTGTTATAGTTCAGATCACTTCTTCTACTTAAAGGAAATAGAGTGCCATAAAGGAAATATTTTGAGGAAAAGTAATATGGAAAGTGATTGTTAACAGAATGCACACTGCACTATCACTTTTTAAAGCTTGAAAAATGTTTAATTCAGAAACTACATAGATAATGGCCAATAAATATTAATAAGCCATTTAGTTATTTAAATATACTATCTATTCACTGCATTCAGAGTTTTAAAAAAATTTTACATTATGTTAATACCTGATGACCAGTCACGCAAGATATAGATGATTTACATCATCATTACATTCTCAAACTTTAATGAAAACCTTAATGTTTCAAATATTCAGTGCCTTTCAAAAAATTTCCTTTGCTGTTTGGATAAAACATTTGTCACAGATCCACATCTTCACAAAAGCTTTGTATTTCTCTTCCTTTTTTTTTAAAAAAAAATTATTTTTGTTTGAAATATTAGAGATGTCCCCTTTCCCCCCAA